AGTGTCCTGTAACTACCTTTGCTGGGTGGTTGTGAAGGAAGGTGGGGAGATTCCTCCCAAGTCTCTCTGTTTGGGAGCTCCTTCTGGAACTTCTTCCCAGTTTTCCCGGTTTTCCCAGCCCTCTTTGGGAGCATCTGAAATGTCGGCCTCTTGCTGGGAATCCAGTCTTGACTCAGCGGAGTCTAAGATCCGGACAGTCCTGTCTTCTTCTTAGCTGGGAGGAGGCATCGCGGTTCGGTCCCTTCCAAAGGCTTTGGTCAAAGACCAGCAGAGGAGGATTTCTATGAAAATGTTCCTCCTCTCGGAGCTGCTGCTGCTTTCCCGATTTCCCTCCATCCATCTCAGAGGCAGAAGGTCTCTCTTGGAGCAAAACTGGTGGGGTCTTTGCAGTCTGAAGACCTTCCTGTGTCTCTTAAATAGTAGCTGCCAGGAGAGGGTGTGACAAAGCAACTGTGAAAACATCTCCTGGGGCTCTTCCTCCTACAGGGGGAGAGATTGGATGATCTCTGATTTTTTTAGCTTTGACTATGTTTTTCCGTGCAGAGAAACATCAAGAAGGCTACGAGGAAACATCAAGTGAGTGATTTGTCCTCTTTACCTGTTAGCTCCAATTCAGAGCGGGGATCAGTTGAAGGGTGTGTGTGTTTGTATGTGTCCAAACAGAAAAGCAGCTCATGAAGCTGCAGAGTTCTGCTATCTTCCTCTTCTTTCCAAGAATTAAGTTGGGGGAGGTGGGTCCCCTTTTATTTACAGCAAGGCTGTCCCTGGGAGTGGAGACCACAAGGAGAAACATCTGGTACAAGGAACCCTCAGGAAGGTGAGAAAACCTGGCTGGGTGGAAGATCCATCTGATGGAGAAGCTGTTCTGTCTTCCAAGCATGCAGAAAGGAAAGGCTTGGCCATAATCTGGTCAGGAAGCTCCATAAAAGTAGTGAACAAAGAAGGGATTTAGGAGAAAAGGAGCTTTGGTAGATGCCAGCTGGATCTCCTCTTGTTCTGCCACCACAAGGCTCTCAAAGTATGAACTGACTGGAGAAACAAACTTTGGAGCCATCTGTATCCTGACCTCAGCTGCACCCTGTGGCTGTAG